CTGCATGATTAATTCAATGTAGTTTATTTGTGCTTATCAGTCTTATATCTCCCAATGTAATTTCAAAAGTATATATGTCCGTGTATATAGAGTATTCAGCTGACGAGTTCTACCGAAATTCGATGAATTCATTAAATCCTGCTTTATTACCCTTTATTGCTTGTTTTAAATCGGAGTTTAAAAATATATCATTAAAACACGAAGGAAACAGAAAATGAGAAAAGGTGGGAGGGTTTTAATTAGAATTTACCTACGCAAAGGGAAACACAAAGGTAGAAAAAAATTCTTTCACTGTATACAAAGACTAGGATTGTTCTCTCAAATTAATTTCCATAGCTTCGGCTATGCGCAATAGGAGGAGGGTTCGAATTCCATTCGAAAGACTCGATGAAATGTGATAACTAACTTTGAAAGCACTGCTTCTGTCTACTTGGTAACTGCTACCATCAATCAAATGAGTCAAAATAGAACTTCGTATTGATTTTCTTTGGTCTTTTCCGAACCATGAAGGAAGATGCTGATTAATACGTTTGTTCAGCCGTCTAGTTGTTCGCCCTATATATCTTCCTCCAAAGGAGCAACTAAATTTGTAGATACACATAGAAGTGGCACAACCAGGTAGCTTGTCTTTCACTGGAGCAATCATAATTAGTCGGCTGAAAAATGACGAACAGAGGGTGGTGGTAGTATAAATCCGTTTTATTGCTCTCGATAATCTCAGATGTACCACTTCACCAGCCACGTCCCCATTAAATTGCAATTTTAGGAACGATTGTTTCTTTTTAACTGTTCTCAGTTTCTCTTTATTATACCTGGTGTTCGTGTGTCTCCTTACAAATCTATTATTTATTATTATTATTTCCTTTAGTTCCTAGAGGAACATAGGGCTTCAGCCATGCGTCTCCATTGCGTTCGGTTCTCTGCTAGAGTTTTCACCTGGCTCACAATGGCCTGTCTTGTGATGTCACTTGCTGGTTTCCTCAGAGTGTGGCCAATCCATCTCCATTTCTTCCCGCCTATTTGTTTCACAATCGGTTCCTGGTTGGTTCGCTCCCAGAGATCTTTATTGCTGATCCTTTCCGGCCATCTGATCTTAAGTAGTATTAAGCAAAGACAGCTGTTAATGAATGTCTGTAGCTTGTTTGAGGTGCTCTTTATGACGCGCAGTGCAAGTCTCTGATCCGTATAGTAGCAGTGACTGACTTCACATTGGAGTTGAAAATCCCGATCTTATTTTTGACGCTGAATGTTGTTGACCTCCACACAGACTTGAGAGTAATGAAAGCTTGCCTTGCTTTCCCGATCCTTGCTTTGATATCCTCGTCAGTTCCGCCTGTAGTTGAAACAATGCTTCCCAAGTAGGTAAAGGAGGTAGTTTCTTTCAGGTTCCTTCCATTTATGCTGATTGCTGTGGCTGTTGGTGTTGGCCAGGAATCTTCATCACCTCCGTTTTCTCTATGTTCACCTGGAGTCCTATCTTTGATGCTTCTTCTGCCAACTTGTTACTTTTCACTTGCATATCTTCCAGTTTGTGGGAAATCAGACATATATCATCGGCGAAGTCCAGATCCTCTAAGTTCTTTGGAGGATCTATTAGGATAACCAATTTGGGCCAGTGTATTTTGAATGTATCCTAACTCATTTTCTAGTGAGTCATCTATACAGATCCACCATACACACACACACATTTTTGAGGCATCTGACCAAATTGATTTCGTATCGGATTACTACAAAACTGAAGAAATGTGTATGTTGTCCTACAGATGTCAGTTTTCTATAGACATCTCTCTTGAGTGAACCATCCTATTTTCTGCTCAATCTAACACCAAGGAAGTGTAGTCCACCATCATGTACTTCTTCACAAGTGAAAATGAGCGATGAAAGTGCATTGTTAAATTTTGTTTATGAAAGAGCTTCTCTTGAAATGCACAATGAATGTCCACTTTTTATTTAATACGGAACTATATAGACAAATCGATGGTGTGGTAATGGGGTCACCGCTAGGACCCATTCTAGCCGACATTTTCCTTGCGAAACTAGAAAATGGGCCTTTGAAGGATGTTATTAATGAACTCGAATTTTATTGTCGGAACATGGATGATACCTTTTTGATTATGAAGGACGACAAGGAAGCAAAGAACATCCCGGATAAATTTAATGAGGTACATTCTGCAATAAATTTTACTATTGAGAAAGAAAAAGACTATAGTATTTCATTTTTAGACGTCCTTATGACCAGAAAAGAGGACGTCACAATAAGAAGTGTTTATAGAAAACCTACATCAACGGGTCAGTACACACATTTTCTCAGCTTTGTGCCCTTGAAATACAAACGCAATCTAATAAAGTGCTTGGTCCACAGAGCAAGAGAGATTTGCTCGGACGAATGTCTTGATGAGGAACTTAACAATATTAAACGGTTGCTAAGTGAGAATGGTTATCCTGAAAAGTTTATTGATAAGAATCTGAATCTGAAACCAAAGCAGACCAAGTTACCAACAGTTCCAAAAAAGGCCTTATTCTTACAGATGCAGTTCCTAGGAGACAACACTAGTGAAATACTAACACAGCACCTTAGAAATGCGGTAAAAAGAGCGTTCTCTGCTGCTGAATTACGCTGTGTCTTCAAAACCATCTCTATTTTTCGTTCCGGAGTAAAAGACAAACTACCTAATTTCGCCTCTTCCATGTGTATCTACAAATTTAACTGCTGTTGTGGAGCCAGTTACATAGGCCGTGCAATTAGGCGTGTTTCTCATCGAATTTCCGAACATCACCCTGCATAGTGGTTAAGCAAAGAACAAACAAAATCTATTCGCAGCGCTATTCTATCTCATCTTGTGGATACAGAACACAAGATTGACGTTAATCATGCTTTCAGGGTCATTTACCGCATACCTACGAATCTCAATTTTGCCTTAAGAGTTAGAGTACTAAATATTGCGGAGGCTGGCTGTTGGGATCCATATTAACAAGCCTAATTTGTGCATCCAAAAGAAGTTAGTTCAGTCATTATCATTACCTTGGCCATCCAGGTTTGAATAATCAGGAATTTTTGTGGAATTCCCCTAATTTTAGTTGATATTCTCTTTGCTACTATATCTTTGTTATTATTATAATTTAAGCATCTTTAATGAACTGTGGTAATTCCATTGGTTTTACTTTACAAATCGAAATTATTTAAAAAACACTAATATTGTTATTAACTACTAATTTAAAATATTCTGTGTATATAAACATATATATAACTATGGAGCCGGAAGAGGAATTTATCGAAAAGAATATTCTTTGCTCGATTATTTTGTGTTTTATAGATGTCTGAATGAATATTTTTTCTGTATTAAATTTTATTAACATTTCATTCTTGTCAGCATTCTCGTCAATAATAATAATAATAATAATAATAATAATAATAATAATGATACTTGAACTTCATTATTTGTACAACGAAATAGATTTCGAAACAGCATTGATTAACCAGCTTCTACGTTACTAACCTTCATTATTGGAGCTTTTTTAAAGCAAAGTGAATATAGCACTTCAAAGGGAGAAATGCTACAGTCAATTTGAATTTACTCGCGTGAATATGGATTTGACTTATTCACCTGCAATTCACACATAATAGAGATTTACAGCTAACTTACTTGTCTTCTGAATTCATTCAGGTAGTATAGGGAAATAAAGAAACGTACTAATCCATCATCACAGTGACGACCTTCGATTAATTATTCTAACGGTAATTTGTGGCAAAATGATCTATCCATATTCCCGTCTTTTTCAAGTATTGGTTTTGTAGGGATTTTGTTTAATTGGTTGAAGGATTTCATCATGAGCTGACACCAGTTTGAGAACCATTGGGAAACCACCAGACAGTACTGGACAGCTTTTTCGTCCAGGTTTCGAAACCAGGACCTTCCGGTTACGAGGCGCGCTCACAGACTATTAAGCCACTGGGAACTGACTCACCGGCCAATGAATTCTAACTTCTGCCAATTCATGATATAGCACAACCACTTCGCAATATCTTCTTCGATGAGTTACTGCCTCACTTTCGACCTTTTGTATCCCACTCAATGGTCACGGCTTCCCACTAGAACCCCAGGTAACAACTGCCTGAATAGGGCCAGTCGCTAGTGACCGTCAGATCAATCTTTCAAGTAATGGTTTTGTGGGGATTCTTTTGATTGGATTGGAGGATTTAATTATGAGCTTACATCAGTTAGTTATGTCATGAATTGGCAGCAGTTGGAATTCATGGGATGGCCATTGGATTGGATCCCAGTGTCTTAATAGTCTTCGAGCTCGCTGGCTTTGTAACCAGAAGGTCCTGGGTTCGAACCCCACTGCGTGGGTGCGTACTGATGAAGAGTCCCAAGCACTAGGACGAGTCATCTGTCCAGTACTCTCAGACTGGTTTTCCAATAGTTCTCAAATTGATGTCAGCTCATGATGAAATCCTCCAACTATATCTGCGTCATTTAGTTGATATATATCGCAGACAAGTTAAATATCTTTATTGTTTTTAGTGTGAACATGTCAGACATAATCGGTCATTTGGATACCTTTCTAGTATATGATATTGTCGTCAGTTTGTCCATCGGCAGACTCAAGAGGTTAGTGTTTAATTGATTTTGAATCCATTTTTGTCCATTAAAACTGCCACAAAAAGATGTCTGGCCTTCGTAACAGATGAAAATGTTCGCTGAACCAAACTAATAATAATACCGTACAGTAAGCTATTTTATTACAACGGCTACTACTTTTAGTACCTATATTATATACAAGAGAATGCCACATTAAGACAGAACCTCAAGGGACAATAGTCTTAGCCAAGTCACTAAACTGCTACAAAACTTCTAGATAACTCAAAAAGACCTCAAACAATGGTTATTAAAGGAGAAGGAATGAAAGCAATACTGTGCATGTGTATCAACAACAATAATGCGATACTACTCATTTGAACATAAGTAGAGTGTGTGTGGGGGGGAAGAAATACTTACAGCCACATGTAATTGTGTTTTCTGTACATCTAAATCAAGACTTGACGATGAAGTTAAACCAGGAAATTTAATATTGACAATTAAACGATCAGGTGGACGAAGAGGATTTACATCACCCGCGTTTCTACAATTGCTCATGTCGAAATCTGAACTGTAGGTTATAGTGTAGTCTGGTTTAGTAGGCCCATTGATTTCATTTGATTTGACATTTTCTAGAATTTAAACAAAAGTTTTGGTTTAGGATGACTGTCTGGCAGTTTAATGTTGTTAATGAAATAACTAAATAATAAATAAAAACGGTATGTTTTCTAGGAAGGAAACAGGCATAAAATGGACTCACACAAAATACTCTGAGGATCAGGATTTCGCCGATGATATTTGTGTCTGATTTCCCACAAACCGGAATATGTGCAAGTGAAAAACAAAAAGTTGGCAGAAGAAGCATCAAGAGGAGATAGGACTTCCTTCAGGTGAACAAGGAGGAAGCAGATGTAGATGATGTAGATTCCTGGCCAACAGCAACAGCAGCAACAACAACAACAGGCATAAATCAGCCAGTATAAATGGGAGAAATCTGAAAAAAGTAACCTCTTTTACCAAATTACCTACCTACCTGGGAAGCATAATTTTGACTACAGGCTAACGGAAATGATGAAAGTATCAAAGCGAGAATCATTGGGAAAGCAAGGCAATCTTTCACTACTCCCAAGTGTCTGTGTAGAGATAAACAGCACTCAGCATTAAATATAAGATCCGAATTTTCAACTCAAATGTGAAGTCATTGCTACTATACTGATCAGAGACTTGGCGTCTCGCCGCGTCGCGTCACGAAGAGCACTTCGAACAAAATACACACCCTAATCAACAACTGTCTTTGCTCAATACTTCGCTCAAGATTAGATGGCCAGAGAAGATCAGCGACAGAGAGGGATCTTTGGGAGCGAACCAACCAGGAATCGATTGAGCAACAAATATGCATGAAGAAATGGAGGTGGATTGGTTACACTCTGAGAAAACAAACTTTTGAGGCTGACGGTATCGACGTTCGCGGAATGTACGAAGTATACTAACGCAGGATCTAATGCCCACAACTTCTATAGTATCCGTTCCTCGTGTACCAAAGGCAAAGCAAAAGACACTGTTTGATCGTCCAAACTACGAGAAATATTTCGGGACCAAATCGTAGACCGAGATGAATGCCTAGCTGACTAGTGATCGTGCACTAAGGTGACACGGGGGAGTACCAAATGGCATGGATGCTTGACCGGAAGCCTTGAGCCAAACAGGTCGACTTCTGTCTGTCTGGATTCAACATAGAACTTGGCACCGAAGTGCAGCAGTTCGAGTTGCCACGTTCCAAATAGCACACAAAGGTAGACAAGAAAATGAGTGAAGAGAATCAATAGAGTTTTGACAAGTATAAGAGTGAAACAGAATGAGTAATGGTAGAAAGAAGTATGAAGGTTAAAGAGACTGAATACGCCTGCGCCATTGACAACGATTTTGAGCCATGTCACCTATTGTCTCCAGCCATTGATTCTTAGAGTCCCGAGGGCCCCAACCTGGAAGTCTGCATCTCCCTACCTGACTCAGTTTAACTGTCAAGGATTTCATGGATTGATGAGGCCATGTTTTTGTTTGGCCACCACTTACTCTTTTCCAACCTGCACCTATATCAGCTAGTAATGCCCGCCGGGGGAGGCGATGGTTAGGCATGCGCAGCATGTGACCTAGCCATCTCAATCAATGTAACTTTATAGCCTCATCGATTGATTTTCCCTCTTTGCCCAACACTCTACGCCTAACGTCAACATTACTTACCTTATTATGCCACCTAACGTGAGAAAGAGATCGTAAACATCTGTGGTCAAAAACACACAATCTCTTCATGTCTTCCGCTCTCAATGGCCACGTCTCACCGCCATAGAGAAGGACGGAGCGAACTGCTGAGCAGTACACACGTCCCTTGGTTGACAGCCGGATGTCACGTCTACGCCAGAGACGGTGTAAGTTAGCGAAAGCAGCCCGAGCTTTCTGGATCCGTGCTGAGATTTCGTCACCAATCAATCCGTTGGTGCTGATACAACTTCCCAAATAGGTGAAGTGGCCGACATGTTCTATCACTTCACTCCCTATCACTAAGCTAGGAGTTGACGTAGTCCAGTCCTGTAGCAGCATCTTACATTTCACAGGGGCGAATCGCATGCCAAACATACGCATATTGCTGCTCAAGGTGTTCAGAAGACTCTGCACTTTGTCAGCGTCCTCCCCTAACAGGACTATGTCGTCTGCGTATTCTAAGTCTATAAGACTATTCCCTGGTAACAAGTCGATTCCTAAGTCGTTATGTTCGGTTAAGGATACTTCCATTAGCATATCTATGATGAAGTTAAACAGAAAAGGTGAAAGTGGACATCCTTGACGGACACCACTGGTTGTTATCAATTCAGATGACAATTCCCCATAAGCCCTTACACAGCTACGTGAGTTTGAGTAGAGTGCCTTGATTAGTGCAATGTACTTTCTTGGCACTCCCTTCATAGTCAAACATTGCCATAGAACCTCTCGATCCACGGAGTCGAAGGCCGCCTTCAAGTCAAGAAATATGGCAATTGTTGGACGCCTAAAAGTGTGCCTATGTTCTAGGATCTGTCGGAGAGTGAAGATATGATCTATGCACCCTCTACCTGGCCTAAAGCCCGCTTGATTTTCCCTCGTTTGTTCCTCCCGAGTTCGGCTTAGTCTGTTCATGATTACTGAGCCTAGGATTTTAGAGACTATATTCGTTAGGCTGATTCCTCTATGATTATCACATGAGGACTTATCTCCCTTCTTGAATACTGGTATGATAAGTGACTTACCCCAGTCTGATGGAACCGTCTCTGATTCCCAGACGTTACCTAGTACCTTAGTTAAACTATATACTAGCATGTCACCCCCATATTTAAACACCTCCGGAATAATTCCGTCGGGTCCTGCCGCTTTGCCTCGTTTCAAATTACAGATAGCTTTGGTGACCTCACTTACAGACGGCGGGCCAGTGTCTATGTCCCATTCGGGTGTGTGCTGGATGGCGGGGAGGCTCAGTGTGGCTGTAGGCAAGTTAAACTGTTCCTCGAAGTGTTCTTTCCAGCGTTCACAATCGCCCTCACAACCCGAAGAGCACGCGAAACAGGTCGACTTAAACAGTGAGGGTCAGCATCCAATGTTCAGTGATGATTGCTGTGGTCAAAACTTTCTGGAATTACTTACCGCTACAAAACCATGAATTGACATCACACGTCAGGCCATCGCTCTCGAGTGGAGCGCCAATGGGAAGTAGCGAGTTGGTCGTCAGTGCGAGGATGACGTGGAGGAGGTGACGTGTAGAGAGGAGATGAAAGAATGTGGACAGACGTGGAATACGGTGAAAAGGTTGGCAGAGAACCGAAGGCAATGGAAACGTGCGGCTGAAGTCCTGTGTTCCTCTGAGAATTAAAGGAAACAATAACAATAACGCCTGCGACATACTGAGAGCGAGTTACACTTTGATGTCAACTGCCTTTATTATAGTCGCAAATAAAGACCTCCAGATATATTTTTTCCACTGAGATATGTGTATTCGACAACGACATCAAAGTAGCGGCTATCAACCGGATTTAGTGAGTCAAAATTATAGGGAAAAGGTTTATCCTTCTTGGATCAGTTTGCTAACAAGAGTTCTCAATTCGTGAAATTGAAAGGCAATTTTTTATACACAGTCACGAAGGACTTGTTAGATAATCTAATATTTCCTAGTTAAAAATGTAGTCTGAAAGACTCTATAGCGTTTTAAGCCTTTTCCAATCCCAATTGTGAAATACTTGGATAGTTTTCAGTGCTTTTTAAAAGTGTTTGTGAAACATATTTTGTGGCATATTTCATAAATGTCTAATTCGTGTCACAACAAAATTAGAAAGACGCACACAGGGAACTTACTTTCAATTTTATCTTTTGGTTTATTTAAAGTCTCAGCATTTTCGTAAGGTGGATAGGCGGAGAGTCTTTTCATAGCTTGCTTTTGTTGAGCAGTTGTACAAGACTTCAAATCTTCTGCTTCCCTTCTTTTTAATTCAGCTTGACGTTGTTCATAATCTGAGCGTCGCCGCCTAATTACTGTCGGTCGAGCAACACCTTTGTATGATACACCATTTAACAAGTGGACTGCCTCAAGCAAAGCATTATCATTAGCCACAGAGTTTGGACAAACTGATTCACTCTGCGGATTCTTTGAATCAGTATTCTTCCTGTGTTTGAACAAGTGTAATGCTTGTTTGAAAGTCATTCCAAGACATAAGTTGTATTGTTTCTGCAGGCCTTCAATTGCTGTTACGTTTAGGAGTCTTTTAAAAGCGATAGATGACTTGGCGAGTTCAAATGCTTTTGGATTAAACACCACATCATATACCTAACCAATGTGAAGACAGAAAAATGAAGATTAAAACTTCTCATTTAATGCTGTCCGCATAAAATCCTCCTGTTATATAAAGTAACTCACCATTGAATGGTTTTTCTTTTTATCAAAGTCTTCACGGGGAGGAGTAAAACAATGCGGAATGCTCCAATAAGGTCTGCCACCACCACTGTGTACCGAAGAATCATTTTTCTGTGACTTTATTTCCGGACACTCTACTACATCCGATTTGCAAACATTTATGAAAACTTTTACGGATTCATTAGTTGATTTCTCCTCTTCTTTTAAAGTGGTTTTGCTATCAGAACACTGTAAGACGCATGGCCAATGTCGAGTTTTGAAACAATGTCCAGGGGTAGGATTGATAAATTGCACATCCATTCCCTGTTCTAATTCCATTAACTTTATTTCATCTTCATATCTACATAATTAAAAATAATAAACACTATTTTAACAGTATTTAAAATGCGTTCTTGTATCTACTGTATCTATAATCGAAAAATATCAAGAAAAAGCATAAGCAATGGTAGACTACTTCTCCCGACTCTTCACACAGGAGTCGTCACTCCCCATAGGATCATCTCTGGTTGCATCAGATGAACACAGGATCGACTCCGTTGACGTCGACCAAGACATCGTGCACAACTGCCTAAAGAAACTAGATGCAGGGAAATTAATGGGTATTGATAATCTTCATCCAAGGCTTCTTAAGGAGCTCACATAGCCGACCCACTGACCACTATCTTCAAGCTATCTCTCCTAAATGGGGTGTTACCGCGTAACTGGAAAGACGCCATAGTAAACCCCATACACAAAGGAGGATCAAGACAAAGCCCTTTAAACTATAAGCCTATTGGTCTCACCAGTACTTTTATCAAGATATTTGAAAGAATCGTCAAGAAAAGTATCATGGTTTATCTGGAAAACAACTATTTGTTATCCATAGGACAGTATGGTTCTGATGGAAACCTCTCATGCCTGTCAAATCAAGGGACAACAGAAGACCCGTTGACGCCGTCTTCATAGACTTCAGCAAAGCCTTCGATAAAATTCCCCACAAAAGACTACTCACCAAGTTGGAAAGTCTTGGAATCAAAGGCAGCCTACTGAACTAGATTAGGGAATTCCTCATAGATGGGAGGTAGAGGATTAGGATCAACTCGAAACTCTCCTCCTGGACAGCAGTGCGTAGCGTAGTGCCAGAAGGCACGGTACTCAGACCTCTCCTATTTATTTTGTATATCAGTGTGCTATCTTTGCTCACCGATTACCCTATGGTCCAATACGCAGGTGACCTAAAAATCTGGAGGGAGCTGGAGGGCGACCGTGATACATTCACGTTACAAAAGGACCTCAACAAATTGTCAGAGTAGTCCAGAGAATGGATGCTCCCTATCAATGTAGCGAAATGTACAAACATGCGCATCGGACAAGCAAGCACGAGCTCCTACGAATTAGGGGGAATAATACTCCCATCAGTTCAGACTCATCTGGATTTATGTGTTATAGTAAGTCACGATTTAAAAACTACGGCACACTGCCGCGCGGTGGCTGCACGTAGATTCAGATCCTTATGGGCAGTTCACTGAGCCTTTACTAGCATCACCAGAGATATGTTCACCTACTTATATACATTTCTGATGAGGTCAAGACTGGAAAACTGTATCCAGGCAGCCAGTCCTTGTCTTAAAGGGGAAGGGTTCAAAGGAAAGCAACTCATATGATTCCTCGCATGACTAATTTATCATAGTAGGAAAGACTAGACAGTTTAAATCTCTTCTCCCTATAATACCGTAGGCAAAGAGAAAATTTAATTACAATGTTTAAAATTTTAAATAATGGTTATGAACCTGAATTGCTCTCCCTTTTCCTTCCTAGTAGGTCGGAGCACCTTACAGGACATAGCAGGAGAGTTCAAGAGCCAAGAATAAACCATTTCGGTGTTGAGTAATGGTTCTCACACCGAGTCATAAACTTCTAGAAACGACTCCCAGAAGAAGTGGTGTCTGCAACCTCAACTGATTCATTCAAGAATGGTTTAGACAAGTACAGAAATTTACTTGCAAGGAAATAACAGAAGTTCCAAACCTTCTATCCTCAACCAATAAATCTGAATCTGAAATCCAATTATTTCGAGAGTTCTTGTTAGGTTATGGGACGAGTATGCTAGATAGCGACAAAAACTTGAGTAATGTAACGACTTCCAAAAACTTGCACTTAGAGAGGCTAAACCGACTTAACCTGCTCCTAACGACATATCAGTGGATGAGAGATTCGACCACAGTTACCCTAGACAACTTATCAGAACTCAGATGCAAAAGTCGCATAGTGGTTAAAAATGCACTGAAAAACACCGCAAACATGATACTATAATATATGGTTGTTGCTTATGTGTTGAGGGAATGTCTCTCAGTCACTACACAGATGATTTATGGGGACATCACACAATGCGCAATAGATGCATTTATCCAGGTGAGTGTAGGTTGCGGTACTTTGAGATCTGTTGATATTTCTGACACTGCTCTCAAACCTGCTCCTTACTCTAGCTATAATTCTAAATTATAATCCTAACTTTAACCCCAATTCTAACCATAACCCTAGACCCTAAGCTTTAATCCAAAAGTTGACAACCCTGACTGACAGCATCGATTTACAGAAAAAGTATCCGGAAAATGAGTAGAACACTGTCTGTACCTTCTCTAAGTGCAAAAAGGCAGGCATGATTTGATTTGAAAAGACCTTTCATATTATTCCCTGTGTCTGAATGGTTCTTCAATGTAAACTTTTGAGAAACCTTGGCTTTGGCTGTGATACGTATCACAGACACAGTTAAAATACTGTAACTTCACCGAGATTCGAAATAATATTTCGTAGTAGTGAATTGAAAGAAATTGGAAACATAAAGAAAGTAGGTCAAGCACTACACTCACGTTCTAAGCAGTTTCCCCATGTGCATTGTTAGATTGAGATTAACTCATAAAATATCCAATAAATACAATAGATTTATCACGTACTTTTTCTTGTTAACGGGATCAGATATCTCTTCTGCATATTCTCTGAATAGTTTACGAAATTCTGGGTCTTTAAAAGCATTCTTCAGCTTGCTGATCTCATCCGACGTTAAATTCATGTCGCCTAAACCACTCATTTTGTAGCAACCTCGTAAGTGTCGAAACTCAAAACCTTGACAACAAACATTCAATGAAGTAGACAAACAAATTAATAGTTTTAAATTTTCCCAAAATCTTATGTCCATTACAGGCGTGAATAATTGGTTAATTATTTTTGCTTAAAATTTACAGGCTTTCCAATATCTAATTTCCTTTTTACGAGCTAGTGTAAACCAACTTGATTTCTTTGTGCTGGCTTCTTGTATTTAAGGTGAAGATTCCTGGTCTTCATCAAGCTTATGCGTAGCTCGTCCTGTCACCCAACTGTTGCAGCTTTGCTTGACTCCAAAAGGAGTGGTGCTGGGGTTGGTAATAGTTTGCCGTACGTGGTGTGTTATGACCGCGTTGCTACTCTAAATGGAGTTAGTCCTTTCACCCGTTAGTCATTCGGTGTGGCCGAAAAGAAAGGTAAAAGTATTAATAATAATAATATATGCAATTAGTTCACATTATACGGACTTAAAAAGCAAGAGTAAAAACATATAGCTAATGAAATTTGAACCATATATCAATAATAAAAGTAGTGTAAGGGACGTAATAGTTGAAATAGTTAGAAGGATAAGATAAGGGGGAAAGTTGAGAAGTAAAAGACGAGTTTAGGTGTATACCCATTATTAATGTTTAAGTTTTAGGGAGATATACCTCTTGGACTCAGTTCTTGTGTCACTGCATGACTGTCCAGCCTCCGCTTAAAGCTGTCCACGGACGGTGCAGTAGCCACATATGTCAATAGTGAGCTACATGGGCGGCAAACTCGATGTGAAAAAAGGGATTCACTCGATTCTTTGCTCTCTGATGATCTCTCCTTCGTGGATTCCCACGAGAAAGCCTATACCTATTCACTGTTTGGCTTATTCTGGCCATTTGTACTTTTATAGGCAATAATTAAGTCGCCCCTAAGCAGATGGTAGCTTAGTGTGAAAAGACTTAATCTCTTCAACCTCTCATCATACCGTTTATTTCTGAGACCCATTACCGCTTCTCATCTTTGGCCTCTTTCCAAAAGGTAAGTGTCTCTTTTAAGCAGCGGGTGAGCAGTGATATTTTAGAGGCTGAGGGTGTTGGCACTCACAAATATTATGAATTATATTAACGCAAGATCTCACACCCACAACTTCTGTTATACACGTTCCGCGTAGACCAAAAGCAGAGAAAACCACCAAAATACTATGAAATTAAGGGTGTGGTTTTATGTATGTTTAGTACAACCTCAGTAAATGCACAGGAGTGAGTGCACCTAACCATCTACGTGTAAAGTCTATGACTGTGCATGCCCTCTATACAACCTTTCGGGCAACTGACCCTCGTATCCATCGCTTCCGTAAGAACTAGACCTAAGCCGCTGTCTAACGTCGAGTAGAACGGCTTTTCATTACACAGAGAGCAGTTTACATTCTTCAGCCTACAGGTGTGTATTTGCACCAATTGGAACATTTTTCTGGTTGAAAGTCACACCATTGACCATCGTCCAATCTTTCAGAAATTTTAGGTCTGCCTTTAGCCTAACTGAGTCTTTCGAGCACTTTATTACTCTCCAGATCTTGACGTCGTCTGCGCGGAAAAGCAGGCAGCTTAGATGGCAACGTAGGTCATTGATTCAAATCAAAAACATCAATGGCCCTAGGGTAGAACCTTGCGATACTCCTGATGGCGAACTGTGCTAGGACGATCGGACACGCCTGACGTTAGTTCCTTTCAGCTAGGTAATCCTCCAAGTACTACTGAAGTGGGCAACCTGTACCTGCCTGACTTATCTTGTGTGGAAGAAGGTCATGGTGAACTGTGTCAGATGCCTTCTGGAAGTATAGAAAGATTATATGGACGGGAACATTCATGTCCCAGCGTGATGTCTAATCGTTCCATGCAGGTAGCAGGTTTGTCACCCGCGATCTACCTGTTCTGAAACCACTTTATGCTTCACGGAGTCCAATAGTCCTATCAAGTTGTTTCCTGATATCGACATCAATCAGACTTTGCAGCATTTTTGATCCCACCGGAAGTGGCACCACTGTTTAGTAACCGATGGGATTTTGCCTATCGCCACCTGTTAAAACAGCAGAAAGGATGGCTTTCTTCCAGTACCTTGATAGGTTTTTTTGAATCCATTGAGTGTTGGAGCAGGTTGCATAAGGGCATACAAAGAGCTTCACCTCACTGTTTTGAAATAGATGGCGAAATGTCGTCACAACCTGGAGATTTTCCATATGTGAGTTTCCGTAACTTCCCTATCACTAATACCAAGTTAATCTAAAGAGTTATCAGTAGGGATTCTTCCGGTAAACTAGCAGTGCAGCGTTTTTAGCCTATACCGGTAAAACCCACAATGCTGTTTAACTGTTTGTCAAAGGTCATACTGAATGTGTCAAACCATTGAGATAATGAACTTTTGTACCTACTTAGGAACGTATCCCGTGGTTTGCGAGTTTTCTCCTCGACTTCAGTGGGTAAAAGTCTTGGAGTTTGCAAGGAGCTTTCCAACAAGATTTGCCTAAAATTACCTCGTGTCACTTCTGACCCTTGTGTTGCACCGGTTCCAGAGTTCCAGGTGTGCGTCGTGGTTGGTCTGACTCTTGGATATTCACCACGTAGACCAAGCCTTCTTCTCTGGGTGCCTGTTTTCCGTCATGAGTATTATTTCTTCGGTTGTGTTGTGATTGGAGGGACGGTGTCTGGGATCTCTGTGTGAGTGATCCCTTCCACCACTTCTCAAAGTAACTCCACAGGTACCTCGGGCCTCTAGGGGCCATACTGTGTCGGAAAAAGGTCTAAGAATTACGGTATTGTGTGCTTTACAATAGCACAGACGAGGTCATGTAGCATCCCACTTTAAAAGCTCAATCAGAACAGGACAAAACACTGTGACTGCTTGGCCGCTGCTACATAAAGGGGTTCTACGGAATCAGTCATTCAGGCTGCCTGAGTGACTTTGAACTCATTTACAGTTAGCTTCGGCAAGATATAGGGCTCATAATTTGTGTGACTACCATTCCTGTTAGACCTGAGCTCTAGCCACACTACTTGCTGACTTTGTGGCCTAGACAACCTAACCTAGTGACCAGTGTGTGTTTGGTATGCCCTACGGCGAAATTACATCATTCAGAGTCTGGGAGCTCAGTAGATCACAAGTCCGTTGCACGTGTGGATCTAAGTGGCTTGTCAAAGTATACAGCGGCCCCCCTTATTACCCTAGTCTCTCCTGACTCGAACCACTAAGTGCACTTATTCCATTGTTCGCAAAGTAGGGATTAGCCAGATTTCAGCCAGGATTATTATTTTGAACTCCAGGTGTGACTGTAGAATTTTGAGTTCGCCAATTTTTCCCCTCGTCCCTCTTGCATTTTTACATAAGCATCTGACAGTGAGTTTCCCCACCTCAACGTCTTGTGGCAGTGGAATTAAAATTCGAACCATTTAGCCGATTCTCCATTTCAAATAGTACTGAAAAGCATAGCAATGATTGGCGGCTCACTGGTGATTACCTGCAGTTGAGTGGCCATAACGACCACAGAATGTCATCCACTGACTCTAATACATGAATTAACTTTGAAATGATCTGGTGCAACTACTTTTTCAAAAATAGACTTGGTTAAAGCATATAACCGAATCCCAATGGCACCTGGTGACATTCCGAAGATGACTATTATTACACAGTGCCGACTTTTTGAATTTCTACGTATGCCATTCGGCCTCTAGAATCCAGTACAAAATTTCCAACGCTTCACTGACGAAGTATTCGGCAGTCTCAACTTTGCATAAGCATCTTTCGAAGAATGCCTTATTGCGAATCCAAACAAGGAAACTCACCTTATACACTCGGACTTAGCATTCAAAAGGTTACGCCAACATGGTGCTGCTATTAATATTCAAAAGTGCCAGACAGGATTAGACTCACTGAACATCCCCAACAACATCACTGACTGCAGGATACCCGCCCACTGGCCAGTAAAGTCTAGTCAAATACGCCGTAAACGCTCCACACTTGTAATAGCTTGGTAAGTTATTACAAACGCTTCATTCCTAACTGTGCTTCCATGATTCAGCCGCTAACAGACCTACTTCGAGAGAATACGAAGTCCATCGAACTTGACGCGTCCGCTAAAAATGCCTTCATTACGTTTAAGAATAGCTCCAGGGGACACCCATTATTTATGTATCAGGATCCAGTAGCACCATCAAGTATTTTCGTCGACGAATCAGAGAATGCAATCGGCACAGTTCCGCGACAGCTCGTCAACAATCACTGACAACCATTTGTCCTTTTATCGAGTCGTCTACAAAGAGCAGATAGAAAGTGCAGCACACTCATCAGAGAACTTCTGGCTATATGCTGTGCTATACACCAATTTCGATATATAATGGAGGGTCGTGAATTCATAATTTTCACTGGCCATAAACTCCATACGTGTTCTCTGAACTCGACTTCAGATAGGTTTTCACAAAGTGAGTCACGACAACTCGATCACTTTTCGCAGTTTGCATCGGATATTCGCAATATATCCGGGGTGAACAACACTGGCAGATGCCTCGTCGCGCACCTATTCCCTTGCCAAACAGATGTTGTAGAACTTTTGACACTGAGTCGTCTTCGAAAAGAAGACACCAAGCTTCAACATGAATTATCAAAAACATGTTTGCAATTGACTGGGAAACCCTTAGAGATAGGAAGGGACACTGTTCTATGTGACATTTAAACCTGTACTCCTCGACCCATCGTGCGCAAATGTTATCGCCTTAACGTCTTCAATACGTTGCATTGCTTATCCCACCCAGGTATTTTAACTATAGTCAAGCTCATAACTAGTCAGTTTTGCTGACCTGGTATTAATAAGGAAGTAAGGAAACAGGCTCATTCGTGCTTAGCTTGCTAAAAGCGCAAGATAATAAGATACACAGAAACCCTCTTGGCACCTTTCTTATCCCAGATGCTCGTTTCATGTAGATTTGGTTAGACCTCTCGCAGAACCTTAAATGGATATAC